ACGATACCCCATAATTAGGCTCCGGTGGGCAACCATGAAACCCACATGCCATCCCAACTGTACGCATGACTGTTTGAGCTAGGTCGAGAAATTGAATGGGGAAACATGGGAACCATGCATGCATGCTGTTTGAAATGTACCAATATTTTTGCAGGGGTCAAGGCTGGGCCAGGAGATGAATAAAACCAAAAAATATGTTGCGCAACAGGTCACAAGCCACATCAGTTCCCAGAAAGCATCATATGTTTGTTGGAGGGCATGCAGTTGACACACCTAGGAAGCGTGAACCGGTGATCGGATTTAAAGCTATGTCGACCCGTTCGTGGCCCCCAACCGGAAATGCCCAATCATGCAGTCTCCCTGAACTATCGCATATACTAAGCATGGGCAGCATTTGGCCCCAGAAATGTGTGTGCGGTCTCGCCAGCACTACTGTTTGCGTGCGTGCATATAATGCATGCCACGCAGGATCAAACATCAGTCGATGTCCACCGGTTTTGGCGAAAAAGGCGGCTTTCCACGCTGACCCTTGAACTCCGGTTGCCGACAATGCCCGCACCCTGTGCCGCACCCCCGGCATGAGGCGCATCCCAAGATCAGGTCCTTGCACAGATCGCAGCCGGTCTCGCAGTTGTTGCAATGCCAGCAGCCCGGACGTGTGTTCGGCCGGATCTTTCGGTAGGAGCGAGTTGTCTTCTTGCCCTTGGGAGTTGCCTTGGCATCTGCAGTCTTGCGACCCTTGGTCTTGCAGCGCGGCTTGTGCTTCTGCTCCCCCTCACCACCACCCTTTGGCTCAAGGTTAGGCTTGGGGTACGGTTTTTCAAACCGCGACCAGCCGCTCCAAGTGGTGACAGTCCCCGGCGCAGGCTCGGCTGTTGCAGGCTGCTCGGATGGCACAGATGCCTTCCTCTTGTCTTTGGCCTTCGCTTTAGGCTGCTCGGATGGCACGGATGCCTTCCTCTTGGCTTTGGCCTTCGCTTTGTTGGCTTGCGCAGGCTGCTCGGATGGTTCGGATGCTTCGGCTGTGCTTGGCTCCGCATTTGGATCGGATGGCTCGGACGCTTCGGGGTTGCTGGGCTCTGCATTTGGATCGGATGGCACGGATGCTTTGTCGGCTGTTGCAGGCTGCTCTGGTGGCACGGGTGCCTTCCTCTTGGCTTTGGCCTTTGCTTTGGGCTCGGATGAGACGGATGCTTCGGCTGTGCTGGGCTCTGCATTTGGATCGGGTGGCACGGATGCCTTCCTCTTGGCTTTGGCCTTTGCTTTGGGCTCGGATGAGACGGATGCTTCGGCTGTGCTGGGCTCTGCATTTGGATCCGGTGGCACGGATGCCTTTCTCTTGGCTTTGGCCTTCGCTTTGGGCTGCGCAGGCTGCTCGGATGGTTCGGATGCTTCGGCTGTGCTGGGCTCTGCATTTGGATCGGGTGGCACGGATGCCTTCCTCTTGGCGTTGGCCGTCGCTTTGTCAGCTGTTGCAGGCTGCTCGGGTGGCACGGATGCCTTCCTCTTGGCTTTGGCCTTCGCTTTGTCGGCTGTTGCAGGCTGCTCGGGTGGCACGGATGCTTCCGCTGTGCTGGGCTCTGCATTTGGATCGTTAAGCTTGGCTGCCTTGGATGGCTTAGCCGATGTGAGCCTCTCGGATTTGGACTCATTGGCCGTGTTCTTGGCACGCTTTTTCCGGCCTCTTTTGAGGCCCTTGGCCAACGTGCTGCGCAGATTGCTCTGCTGCGCAGGGCTCACGGACCACTCGGGCATCTTCACCTTGCCAGGGTCAGGGTTGCATGAGGAAAAGTTGTGCGCGCTATATGATGAATTGTCCATGGAAAAATTGACTACTCACGTACCATGCACGTACACAATAGAAAGCTAAGACAACTGCATGGTGCAATATGAAGTTTAAGATTCATTAAATGGTTCAAGCTGTGGGGGAGGGTGAGTGGGAGGGGGAGGGGGAGGCGGGCGGAAGATGTTTAGGCCAAAACACGGTTTTCCAGGGATCCAATTCAGCTGGAAATGGGCACAGTACTAATGCACATTATGAACGGCCCATGCATGGATTTGTCTGGGTACGGAATGCATGGTTTAGCTGGTGCAGTATATACAATGTGCATTGACTGTGTGCGTGATATGTGCTTGATGTTGCATGCGTGTAGGCGTGGACATGCACATGCATGTTTTTTCTAGAGACCCTAGCCTTCTCCGGTGTGTCCACAAGCTCCAGCTTCTGTGCTGGGGACGGGGTCCTCTCAGCAAGGCTGCCATCCGCCATCGCAATGTACACCTGCGTCTCCGCCTGACAGGGTGGCAAGGCCGGGCGTGTGACGAGAGTTCCGCAAAGTCGCAAAATCAACTATATATATATATATATTATATACAAAAAATACGTTAACTATAGAGAGAGAGAGAGAGTTGGCCAGCAGCAGAGTAAAATTATGGGTACGCCGATCCCCGCCCACTCAAGCCTGGTCCGGATTGGCTGGTGCTTTCGATGAAGGCTTTTGTGTTGGTGGCCCATGACCTAGCAGGGAACAGGCCATGCGGCGATCTTACATAACTTTTGTGGTTGGGTTGGGCAAGATGCACACACGACGCATAGAGGTGGGAACACTCGATTCGGCGAGGGGGCTGTGAAACATTCCATGCATTGGCATTTATAAGAGCGCGTGAAGGCGCCTTTGTTAAACTCAAAAAACACCTATAGGATCATGCATCGATCGTAGCACCCCGATTTACGGCCTTCGGTCAGCTTGCTGCATGACTCCTCGCCAGCAACAGTGGCAGCATCAGCGCCCGCAGCCACGCCCTCCAATGCATTCTGCCTGCAAGGGCATGAAGCTAGAGAACATGGGCACCCAAGTCAAACACATATGTTGCCGCAATATGGAAGTTTAAACTATATCCATCATGCATGCATATAGTGTTTCAATGCATGTGCATGTGCGTTATATATTTGCAATGAGGTGGGATTCCATATGGCCTCAAATCTTTTCCAAAGAACAGAACCATATATGCAATGTATAATATACGCTTTGGGGCATGAGCCTCTCAGCGATCTCAATGTCCTTCAAAAGGCGGTCGAGTTCAGCTTGGAGCTGCAGCTGGTCTTCATCGTTGATGGCCTCCTGCTTCTTCACATCCTCCGCCACCGTGGCCTCCTGCTTCTTCACATCCTCCGCCACCGTGGCCGCCTCCTGCTGCCTCGCGTCCTCCGCCAGCGCAATCGCCCCCAGGCGTCGCAGCTCCGCCTCAGACTTGCCTTCCAGCTCCTCCAGAGTTCCAGATGCGCCGACAAACAAGTTGACCCTGCATACGTATTGATCCGATCGAGTTGCATTACGGTGCCCCAACTGTAGCGCATGCATGGTTTTGAACTATATGTCTATATATATATATATATATATATTCATGCATCAACACGTCAACACGCGGTCCTTCAGCTCCTCTCCCACGAAACGCACGTTCTCCATAGAGCCCTCCTCAGGAGAAAGCTCCGGGTCTTTCTCTTCCTCCGACTCGGACTCGCCGGACTCGCCGTCCTCGTCCGTGTCCTCGTCGCACTCATCTTCTCGAGAGGGCCCATGGCCAAAGTCCCGCAGCAGCTGAAAGATCTCCCGCACCGATTCATCCTCAAATGTCCGAAAAGCGACCACACGATATCGATCCATGTTGGCGTGAGCAGCAGAAATCAAGAAACATTGCATGCATACGGGAATATGTAGGGAACAAATATTATATATATATGCATATTCAAACTCAAGGTGCAGGCATGGTTCGCGCGGCGTTTGGTTTCTCTTAGCCGCATCTTGCTGTCTCCTGCGGGCATAGGTGTAGAGCCTGCGTAGCACCCATGCATCCACGTACGTCTGGCGGCGATCCGCCTGGGCCCCCATCACATGATAAAGGCTCTTGATCGGGCCCAAAAGCATCCGCACCTTGAGCTTGCGCGGCGCAAAGCGCCGAATCAAAGCTGCAACTGCAGAGCTGTTGAAGGCCAAAGAGCGCGTGCTCATCGGCCTCTCCATTTCATCTTGTTCAGGATCTTTGCTAGGTGGAAGCAAAAGCCATGCTTTGTCCCCCTTGAACCTACGCCTGATGGTCGAGCTGGCCTCCCACGTGTCCACCAGCACCTTGTCCGTCTCAAGCCGTGCCATGCAAGCCACGACCAAGCAAAGCAGGATAAGCCAAATGTCTCTCGTCAACCGCTGATGATTTGGCATGTGCGTGGGGCCTTTTGAGTTGCCACAATCAAAGCACACGCATAGGCATCCATATATGTGTATATGTAATACGATATTATCTTTATATATATGTAAAATATGATATATCTATATTATATTATATATATATGTACACATGGCACATGGTTTGAAGCCTCAAGAAGACCCATGCGTGGTGGGACAACCGCATGCATGCACTGAGTTGTAACCCTAAATCTGCTTATACTATACGCTTCATGATGGGCGATTGCAACAAACCGGTGGAAATACATAAGACTGCAAGATCATTGACCATGGGAATCAATGCGCGGCCGATATTTCCTCAAATCCGGGTGTATTCTGCGCATGTCTAAATGCAACACGCACATGAGACAATGGAGAGAAATGTTCGCAAAGGGCTGTTATAGTTTGGCCCTGGACATGTTGGGACCCTCTTGCACGGGGGGTGGAAAACAGGCAGCCAGGGGTGCTCATGGAACCATACAATAGGGTTCAGTAGGGTGAAGTATACTCATGAAGTTCCGTGAAGTAAGCGTGAGGGTTCAGTTTACATTTGCGTGTGTCTAAGTGAAGTTGGAGCCACGCGTACATGAATTTGACCCCGTGCGTCTCTAAAGGCTTGGGCAAACCATTGCATAGAATTCGCGTTAACTTCTGTTAGTGCTCGTGCGCAAAGGAGGCTCCACAAAAATGGACCACATAGGGATCCGCATATGTTTGACCAGCACGGGGTTCAGAAGGGACAGTTGTCCATTACAAATGATCGGATTTATAGCTATAGGCATGGATGCTGTGTTCCCCTTGATCTTCAACGCTTCCCTCTCGGCAACTCCCGCGCCTTTGCGTCATCCGATGATGATGTACACGCTGCCCCAAATCCTGCAAACGGGTGGCCGAACTCACGCGTGTGACCTATATGCATAGGTACGTACATGTTTACGAGAAAACTGTATGCGTGCATGCATGCATACAATGTTATGCATGTTCGTGGCACATAACGTAAAGCTATATCCCGTCCTCTCCGCTGCCAGGCACGGCTGCAGATCCATCATGGCGAGCCGAGCGAAAAAGATGTGCACGTGAAGGGAAACCATGGCGGTCTAGTGCACTATATATGTATCCATTACATCCATATAATGCATATGTGTTGATTTCAGTCACTGTGACACCATTTCAGTAACTATATATGAAGTGACTGCGGTTTGTGCCACTCTGCAAATGTGACATATTTTTGAGCCACTCCCTGACAGTGACCGAAAAAAACATGAACAACGGCGAACCAGGTGGTTGGGTTTCCGTATGTAGCCCACAAGTTAAAATCGCTTTTAGCAGGTCTGAAAACGGACAGCCCAGCTTGATGCAAGGCGAATGTTGCCTGGCTAAGGGGTGGTTTTGCAGAAGCAATAGGGCTCCTTATGTTTGTTCTCTCAAGGTAGACTCAAATCCATGGTTGATTTCCCCCAACAGTTTAGAACCTACCAGGGTAGAAAAAAAACAAAAACAGAAAAACAAAAAACACTTGACAGCAGAGACACATTGTCGGCGCAACAAAGGCTAGGCGCGCAGAAGCCGGGGGAGAGGCGTCAATTCCAGCTCGGCAGGTGCACCAGCGTCTCTCCCTGGCAGCCACGCTGACCTCAACGATGCTGAAGCAGAGGCGCGGCACAAATAGAATCTCAGCTTGTTGCAGAGGAGCGAAGCCACATGGAAATTCTGCCTTGTTCAGAGCCTTGATCAGCATCTCCCTCATTGCCAGCATGCCCAACATCATCCACAACATCGTTCATTTGTTGAATCATCAGCATCGCCAGCATTCGCCACCCCTTCCATTATCAATCAGGGGGTTCCAGAAAAAAAAAACAACCTCTTGGTGATTGAAATTGGGGGAGGGTTTGTCTATACACGTTTCATCCACTTTCGTTCAAACCTCCACTTGGCTCGACCAGGTCCAGACTTTTTGCTGTTGCCCCCATAGCAGGAGAAGACCCCTGATTGTTTTCACGGGGAGCCAAACTGAGACTGAAGCCACTGAGGCGTCCCACATTTTGGAGGGTGTCTATCACATGGGTTCCTTTCAGATGCTACACAGATGATTGCCCTTTGCAATCTGCATCCCATCTATATCAGGGCCCATGCACATCATATAGCTTGTCTTTTTGCAGGTTTTATTAGTTTTATTAGGACCGCATTATTTTTGGGCCCTCGGATTTCGGGCCCCCGGATGTTTTTGCGGGTGTTCCCTCCCGCACCATCCCGCTCAGCCTCTCAGCACCGCAGGCAGGGCACCGCGCCAAGCCGAGACCTCGCCGGGCGCTGCGCGGAGGCGAGAGACCAAAGGGTTCGGTTTGCATGAGGAATCTGAGTGCTTCTGAATGGCAGCCTGTCTAGACTTAGGATACATTTTACATTTCACCAGTGTCTCGAAGTGAAGCAAAAAATACAATATACATTCTATATAATTGGGCCTAACTCCAATCATGGCAGGGTGTCCTGCATTTCCCATGCAGGGTGTCCTATCTTTTCCTCTTAATACATCACCCTACCGAAAGGAAACTCAGCAAGTGGCCCTTCTGGGTAATTCCGTGGATGGTTGCGAAATCCGTTCCCACCGTTCAGAAACGCGGGGATGTGATCTATGATTCCCCAACGTAACTATGTTAAGAAACGTTAGGGTTTCAACCATGGTGGTGCGAACTGGATTTCGCCCATCCACACTATGTGTCTCGTTTTGAGGGACCCGGGACCCCCTTTTTTGGTTGGTTTCAAAGGGAAACATACTGGTGATGCAGTATCCTCAAAATGGGCCAAGAGGATCTGCAAGAGATACTGGCCCGCGCCAAAGGGCCTCTGGTTCAGGTCTTGTCGTGGATATGAATATTTTTTGTTGTCGTAGATGCACTTTCGGGATCACGCAGAGCCTGCACGCCTTCGTCATTCTTGGCGTACTCTGTGTGCGAAAGTTTGGGTCTACCTCAGCACCGCCGGAAACAACGAACAACCAGCTCTGACCAATGTGACGAGTCTGGTTTTCATGTCTCTCAGCCAAGGAGATTCCGCCTATGGGGTTGTTTTGAATTATTAGAATCTACAAAATGGGCGGCTTGTTCCTGTGAAGACCCCAAAAAAGGGTACCCTACCCTCAAAAAAGATGGTTCATTTTTTGTTGCCTGAGTTGCTGCTATCACCCAACGGGCCAGCTTCTTTTAGCTCCCTTCCTCAAAGGCGGGGGGGTCTCAAAATTAGGAGCTCCTCTGTGGATGGTTACACTAAAAGGGCACCTTGAAACAAGAGGAAACTTTTGGATAGAATTGAAAGCACAAAAGGATACCTTTACTTGGAATGGATTTTCCATCATTAAAGGGACGCCTTTACACACAGTTCAAGCAAAAAACAAAACAACACCTTTGGACATCATGTTCGCAAATAAAGCAAACAGGACACCAACTTCCGAACACCGTTTAACCATCCTCAAGAACGGAAATCATTGGACATACGGATTTGTCATTTAAAGGACGCCAAGCTTTTCCTCAATTTGGCCGGTGGGGGGAAATACTCAGAAAGCATTGGACATACATTTTGTGAAAAGGATACCTAACTACCTCTTTTTTGGGGGGAGAACTATCCGAAAGATCTTGGGGTACCTTGCCCCAAGGCGCGCTGGTGACAAAAAAAGAAAGATCTAGGGGTACCTTCCGCATTCTTTCCCCAGGGATCCTTCTTGTCAGGAAACCATCAAACACCCAGGGGAAACAGGCGGGTTTTGAAAAGAACGAGGGTTGAAAAGAATGGAAAAGGACTCACCCTAGGAAAGAAGCAACCAGAGGCCACCCAACTCTCCACCTGAGCCACAATCAAAACCTGGGTAGATGAAGGTTAGTAAGGGACGATCCCAACCAGAAATAGCCACGGCCGCCTTCTTAATCCTGTACATGGTTCTGGGTTCACCATTTTTGTACCAGGTTTTGATTGCGTCTCACCTGACGGCCGCTTTCCCGGTTTCCCCCGAGACCCGGCCCCGGAGACCCGCCTTGCGCATGGGGCTCGCCAGGAAGTGCAGCGCCTGGAGCAGAGCAAGGCCCAAGCGCGGCCCCTGGCCTGCGGGGGCACCCAAACGCTCGGCTCGGGGGGTTGGCTCGCTTTGGGTGCGGTTCCTGGGATTTTGGAGGGGCCTTCGCCCTGTTTTGGGGTAAAGGGAAACCAACAGGAAGACCCGAAATCCACAAAGAAAGACCGAAATCCATTTTAATAATTATTCTGACATTTGATTGGGCTTCTTTGCCCTGGGTTTCACGCAAACACATGACGACATTTTCTTTTGGAGATGCGTTGCTTGGGGTTCTCGGCCCTTCAATTTGTGCAAACAGGCGACTTGCAAGCCATCCTTTAGATTCTGAGTTTCCAGAAGGCACGCCTGGGTCCCACACTCTTCTCTGGGATCTCTGTTTGATTTCCGATTTTATATTGTAAGGTCCACAAATAATGGGCCAGGAGCACATATTCGGCTGGCCATAAGGGCCTAGATGCAATGGGGAGAGCCATCTTCAATCCCCAAAAGCAACCAACAGAGAAAGGGGGTATGTTTTTATCAATATTTTGGTTTCCCGGAATCCCTCGGTTTCCGAAATGGGACTCTTGAAGACAACTACTGCGTCCTTTTGTTTGAAAGGCACTCCACTTCAGTGGATGCGGGATGGCTCAGGTGCCTCTTGGCTCAAAGGCAACCGACACGTCGACACGTCTAGGCGCCTTATCCGCAGCCATGTCCTTCGTCCAGCAGCTGGCGACCCAGTCGCAGGCCGCGCAGCAGGTGTCTGTGCGCAACATGCGCAACGCCAGGCGGAGGCGTTCAAGGCGAAGTGCATGGAAGTGAGCCGCACGGGTGAAGCCCGTTGCGCAATGACTGTGATAGCCAAACACCCCGAGTAAATGGAGAAGTTTCTCCGCAGAGAGCTCGAGCTGGTTGGCTTCAGCTCGCTGGAGGTCAACTGTTGGTGGCATGACCAGAGTCACATTGAGGCCTCATGGGATGGCGTCAAGGCAGCGCCCGCCCCAAAGCATCACGCGCCTGCGGGCGGCGTTTCGGAGACCTGCGGCATTTGCCAGGAGCGGGCGCCGCTGACGGCGCTGGCGCCCTGCGGTCACACCATGTGCCGCGGCTGCCTAGCAGCACGGGCAGCAGGTGTGCCCCTTCTGCCGGCAGCCGGTGCATGCGGCGACCAACGGCCTCTTCATCGGCTGAGGGGCGCAGAATTCAATTTACACATCCCTCCCACGGAGAGGCACCATCAAAACATGCCACGGCCACTTGTGAGAATGTGTTGAGTTATGATATCCAGCTTCGTAGGTCAGTCCTGTTCAACTCTTTGGGTGTGACTGCTTCACTGGGGCCTGTCACGACTTTGCATGGAGGTGGCGGGGAGACCTGTGCAATGACCGTGAACCCTGCACAGCTGCGCTGCAGCAGATCCTGGAAGAGAAAGTTCAGGATCTGGCAACGAAGCAGCTGCAATCTCGACAGTGAGTAGGCCATAAGCGCCTGCAGCACGGTGGTTCAGATGGAGGGTTTGCTGAAATTTACTGAATCACCATGCAAGTTACAGTCAGGAAGGACCGCGTGGGACTTGACAACCTCTAATCCATGGATGCAAATCATTTGCACTATTTGCATCGTTTTGCGAAGCCACTGAATGCAAAGACGCACTTGTGCGGCCCTTGCTTTGTCGATCTGTTTTTGTCGTATGCTTTGCACTCTTGCGACTCATTTCGTGGATTTCGGCGGTTTCCTCCTGGTAGCTGGCATCTTCGGCACTGAAGGTGCTGCTGGTAGACAAGGCCTGCTGGGTCGCAGACCTTGATTTTGAGCAGAACGCTACGGCAGAAAGATTGGTTTGGCCTTTGATGTCATTTGCAGCTGGTAAAGTTTCTTGAGCTTTGGATTTATTTGCTTGAGCGTAGTTATCAAGTACAAACTTCCGCGTAAAATGGATGCACTCCACCCGCACAACAAATGGGTTGAGTTCAAGAGGCCATTTTTGGGCAAGAACTCGGACCCTGTGCCGCCCCACACTTTTCATGGTATCGGGTTTGCAAAGGCAGATCTTGGTTTTCTGGCATGGAGTGCACCTAGTGGCTTGGTCTGGTTGAGTTTGTGCTGTTGTTGCTTGAATGGGATAAGGATGCAACGGATCAACCTTTTGAAGGTCACGGAATGATCGGTAATGTTTTGAGAGGCACAATTTGCTTCTTTGACCTGCACAGTTGCTCATTTCCTCACCCCCGGCTTGCTACTTGCCCCCGGTTGTCCCAAATGCGTAGTGGATGCGGGACGGGTCAGGTGCCTCTCAAGCGACACGTCGACACGTCTAGGCGCCTTATCCGCAGCCATGTCCTTCATCCAGCAGCTGGCGACTCAGTCGCAGGCCACGCAGCAGGCGTGGGTGCAACGCCAGGCGGAGGCGTTCAAGGCAAAGTGCATGGAAGCGAGCCGCTCCACGACTGAAACCAGTTGCGCGATGACCGTGACAGCCAAACCCGGCAAGCAAATGGCAAATTTGCTGCAGGCAGAGCTCAAGACAGTTGGCTTCAGCTCGCTGAATGTGAGTCAGTCTCAAAAGTGGCCCGACCAGATTCACATTAAGGCCTCATGGGATGCCGTCAAGGCAGCGCCCGCCCCAAAGCATCACGCGCCTGCGGGCGGCGTTTCGGAGACCTGCGGCATTTGCCAGGAGCGGGCGCTGCTGACGGCGCTGGCGCCCTGCGGTCACACCATGTGCCGCGGCTGCCTGAAGCAGCACGGGCAGCAGGTGTGTCCCTTCTGCCGGCAGCCGGTGCAGGCGGCGACCAACAGCCTCTTCATCGGCTGAGGGGCGCAGAATTCGATTTACGCACCCGACACCCCTTCACGGAGAGGCGCTATCAAAACATGCCGCAGCCACTTGTTGTGATATCCGGCTTCATTCAATTGTTTGGACTGCTTCACTGGGGCCTGTCACGACTTTGCAGGGAGATGGCGGGGAAGATATGCAGTGAACGCTGCAAGCTGTACTTTGGCGGATCCTGTCTGCAGAGAAAGTTCTAGGATCTGGCAACGAACCAGCTGCAATCTCGACAGTGAGTAGGCCATAAGCGCCTGAAGCATGGTGGTTCAGATGGCGAGTTTGCTGAACCACCATGCAACTCAGAGCCTCAAGGAGAAGCAATGCCTGGGACTTGCATCATGTGAATGTTGCCAAGCCACTGGATGCAAGACTTGCTGTGCCCTTTTCAGTTTGTGATGCACCGCCTGCTTTCGAGTGGCACTTTTTTGCATGGTTTGAAAGCCTGACTTGCTTGGAGGGGCCCTAGACGATCCTTGAGGTCTTGATAAGCTCGTGTGTCGAACCAGTCTGCCCTTCCAAGAGTGAAGACCCAGACATTAAAGAGGCATGCCGTACTGCAGGCTGGCACAATCTCCCCCTGCTGCTGCGGAGCCTGAACAAGCAGAAGGAGCTCTGGCCTCAGATTCGATGCGCTTCGGGCTTTGTTGGCCTTGGGCTTGGAAGACTACGCTTCTATGCTGTTCACCTTTGTTTGGACGCCAACCATGTCCAGCCGTCTTCCCCTATGTTGGTGTTTACCCTGGTGGTCGTGCGTCGCTGGAATCTCGTTTGCGGCTGGACGCGCCAGTTGCTGGGCAGACCAGCGTTCAAGACGTACAGGTCCCGGACTTGCAGCAGTTCAGCAGGGGCTTACATCTGTGTAGGATCGCATGCCAACACAGAGACGTGTGCATGTTGGTGAATCATCACGACCAGGGTTGCTCTAAAGCTCAAAACAACCAAACCCCTAAGATAGAGAAATTGGTTGCCGCGCCTTCTGTCCCCAATTTTCCAAACCCAGCATTTTACCCTTGTGCCAGGATCTTGGGAGCAATCCAGCTGCGAAGATCTCACCTCAGGTCAACCCCTGCTTTGACATGAAAAGGATTCTTGTGTCGGGTTCAATTTTGTTTTGGCTCGCAGATATTGATTGGTTCAGATGATGGCTCGTTGGTGCGCTTTGTTGTTGAAAATTGCCTTCCAGAGCAAGTGAGCTAAACTCCTACGTGATGATCGAGCAGCCTATTTGAATAGACAGGGGAGGTCTGCTTTGCACCTACTTCGGATAGCCAGAGCCCGCGACCAGGTGAGAGGGGGGGGGGCTTCAAACGCTCAGGCTGGCCTTTCCCATCTTTGCCTTGGGTTTTCCGTAAAGGAGGCTTCATACACAACGCGATTCACGTGCGAAAGGGTGCGGAACGAAAGGCCGAAACGGCGGCCTGGCAGTCGGGCACCCAAGTGAGAGGTCAAGGGGAAGCCAGACGAGCGTCAATTGCTTTTGTCTTTGGTGGGTTTGTTCTTGGTATTTTTGTTTCTTTGCGATTGTTCGGTTCAGCTTAAGTTTTTGGGGGTTTTGGCTTCCGGTTCGCCATTTGACTTTGTTTGGCGGCTTGATGTTTGGCTCTGTCTTTTGGTTCAATTGTTTATTTTAAGTTTCCTTTGGTCTGGGTTGTTTGGTTTCTTGGTGGCAAGCCCAGCCATCCAGTTCCTTAGGTTTTTGTGGTCCATTTAGCCCGCGGAAAGTTTAACTTTTTAGCAGGGGATCTGAAAACGGACAGCCCAGGTTTGTTTGCTTGGCTATCCATGGAAGGCGCCTTGCTTTGGCAGAGGGCATCCATCGCCTACCTTATGGGAAGCCGGATTTGATCAGGCCGCTGGTTTATGAAGGAACACCAGCAGAGCCTCCTGCCAAGCAATTGATCTGCAGGTGGCCTTGCCGACCCAAGCCGGATGCAAAACATACACGGGCGTCTTGGTGATGGGATGACCGCCTTTGCTTCCTGCTGGTTCTGTGAGCCTTCTCAGTGATTCATGCCCCAGGGAGGTTCGGTCAAAAAATGGCCGTGTCTTTTTTGAGGTCAAAAGGAACACCGCCAGTTTTTGGGTTCCCCCATTTTAAGACCAGCCCAGATCAAGTAATTGTGGTTTGGCAAATTGGGGGCCGCATTTGCGCCCCTGCAGCCTAGGGCTCGCGCCGAGGCGGCTATGAGGACTTGTGGCCCAACATAGAGGCTGCAGGCGCCAAAGGGAGGCTCTTGGGACAAGACTGGCTAGGTCCCCCAGTGATGCCCTTTTACCCTTTTTTGGGGGAGGGTTCCCCTACTAAAATGGACTACAGAAAAAAGGGTACCCTTGTTCTCTCCTCTCTACTGGAGGACCTGGCTAGGGTTTGTCTCAAAATGGGGACTCGGAGCCCCCACAATGGCTGGTGTCCCTGTAGTTTCCCTTTTAAAACCAGCTTAGAAAGGGTACCTCATGTTGCCTCAAACAATGAGACACCCACTGAAGGCTTGTCTTTTTCAAGTGGGACAGCCGCCTATCAATCAGGCAGGAGGCTTTTTATCAGTTCCCATTTGGGCATTTGGGGTTTGTCTCGTGATGCAACCCCCAGAATGGTAGGTTAAGAGGGAGGAAACACCCATTCCAAACTGGAATCCATTGTGTCGGGACTGTGTCAACTCTGCTGCATGTTGGGTTCCTTCTAAGTTTGCGGGTTTCTCTTGATCCACCGTCCTCTGCGGACAACAAAGGCACCATCATTTTTTGCGCAGGACAGAGAATGGGAGCAAGTGGACGGAATGCACCCTTCCTACCCGCATGACCCGAGCCAACCCAGAGCCCACCCTGCTGCCCAAGCCCAAGCCAACTGGATTTCCACCTGAGCCAAATCCTAGACTAACCCCAACACCCTAAACTTGCACTTGTTAGTGGAGCCCAAGTCCATATCATATCAATTCAAAACCTACCCAAAGCACATTCTAAATAGACCCTGGATCGTTTGTGACCTTGCCCCGCGGTCAATCTTATCATTTTGTCACGTGGCAATGGCTGAAAGGGTTTCCTTGGCATTTGTGGCTTCCATCTCTTTCTAACTCGCCTCTTCACTCCCTCCAACCTGTCCGCCCCTCCAACCCCCTCCACTACTCTCGCACTCTCCCACCCTCCACCGTTTCGTACCCTCCACTCCCTCTTAACACTCTGTTTTCTTGTGCCCCTGGAATGTTTGAGCCTGCTTCTTCTGCCTGCCGGTCTCGGAGTGGGAGAAGAGAAGCTGTGTCAGCGCAAGGCGCTGACGAACCCCCTCTTCCAACAGGCTGGCGGGCACAGGGCGCGAGCCCTTGGGGCGTTTTTGTGGGCCAATGCTCATCGTAATTTGGTAGCTGTTGAGCCGGTTGGCTTAAACCTGGCAGTAGCCAGGTGCTTCTGCATTGTCCTCTTTTCTTGGATGGTAACCTGGCGGTTGGTCACCAAAAATGGTCAATGACAAGCATCCTTGACAGTGAGCTGGGTGGTGAGGTCGTCCCCAATTCTCTACTCAAGTTGGCGCTCTTGAGAATTTCACGTAAACTCTGCTTTGGTATTGCAACTCTCTGAATTGTGTGTTGACTCCAATTGGGAGGCCTTGGAAAGCCCAAGGTGAACAGCATGAAGCAATCCAAACCAGCAACCAGGGGAACCAGCTACTCCAGCCAAGAATGTGCTGTGCTGCTGTGCTCACCCCAAGTGAGGGCACCTTTGTGGTGGTGTTGAAAGGAAACCGCCGGGTTTTGGTTTCCCCGCTTCAGGGGATCCGAGTTGCTGCAGGCGCCCCGGATCGCGAAGCCATGCACCGCAGCCGGGCTTTGATGAGCCGGGGCCCCGAAATCCATCCCCCGGCCCGGTTTCGGTGAGAAACACCTGGATTCCATTTTGGTGGCTCGCCTTTCTTTTGGGGGGACCCGTTTGGCTTGGTTTTGAGGGAACTTCTCAGAAGGAAACCTACCGTTTTGGGGGTCCCGAAAAAAGGACACACCCATTTGCTGATCTTGTTTTGGAGGGGTGTGCCTTGTTTACCCATGGAAACGAACAACATGGTTTCCCAAGTTGTTGGTTTGTGTTGGATTTCAAATTGGGTTTGTTCAGTTTTGGTTTCCCAAGTCAACTACCAAACATGATGTCCCCCTTTGTTTCCCCTGGACCAAAAAACACTGAGAGTCTAGGACGTGCAAAGGAAGCAAGCCGCCATTTCATCAACGTTTGCAGATGGATTGAGTTTGCGACTGTGAAGATTACCCTCCCACCAGTGAACATGGGAACCTGACAGGGGGTGCTTGAAGACAATTTTGCTTGAAGAGACCCCGAGTCAGGTTCCATGTTAATTGGAGTGAGGATAGCAGCCGTTTTGAGACTTTTAAGCTTTAAGACAGGGCCCCAATTTGGGCCATGAGGAGGCCCACTTCTTAATGAAGGTATTTCATGTATTTTCGAAGGTGTCACTTAGGGGTTGGTTGCAACATCTTTGGAATTTGCGGCTGGCCCCTTGGTGCTGCGGAGAGATTTGAGAAAGTGCAGTGCTTCCCGGCTTGCATCTCCAGTGGGGAGGGGTTGGGATTAAAACGAGTTTTGAGGGAGGGGGGTGACCCCTGGAATTCCACCAGTGCTTCCATTCTTAGGGGAGAGGAGTTTTACAGATGGTGGGACACCGGCAAACCGGCAACACCTGACCAATGGCAACTTAATCTGGGGTTTTGGAGGTGCAATGATACTACAAGTCGGGATCCCCTTTCCGCTCGCCTCAAAAACTCGGCCTTCTGGGGCAATCCGGCCGGGCTCCCCTCACGTTTCTTCCGTTCGGACCAGTTTCGGGACTTCAACCCTTGGGCCTCATGCCTGAAGTGAGCTGGCGTCTCAATGACTTGAGCTGAGCGAGCACGGCGAAGAAAGGTGATGTGAGCTTGAACCTCAAGGGACCAGTCCCTATGAAGCGAAAGAAAGGGTTCCAAGTTTTTAAAGGTTGGACCCAACCT